GTATATGCTTAAGCACCATAGAGTTGTTGATCAAATTCTGAGTTGTAAAATCCAGAGAACCATCTGAGAGATATCTGCTTGTCTATCTAGTGAAGGAGAAAATAAAAAAATAGCCCATACAGCTTCTAAATCTGAGGAAGTTACCAATCAAATCTGACAGTCATAGTACTTTAAGATTTTTCTTTTTTTGCATATTATAATTGCCACAGATCATTTTGATTCAAGGTATAGACGGCAATATTTTTCAATTTTTTACTGTGGTACAGTCAGAAACATGATTTTATTCTAACTCATGCACATACTGTGCACATACACACACTGTGCACATACACACACCTCAAAGAAAAGTTCACGAACCTGTGTTGTTGCCTAATATTTTCTACTCTAATTTGTTCCAGTATCATTTATTTAATTTTTTAAAAAATGGCTTATGAGTATCCCACTTTGTGTTACAACATAAGTTTTATAATGTTTAGAAGTAAGACAGATCAGAATTTGAGTCCTGAATCATCCACTTGCTAGCATAGTGGCTTTGAACAAATTAAAATCTCAATTTCCTCATTTGTAAAATGGGAATTATAATAGAAGTAAATCTTATGGAGACATAGTAAGGATTAATTCAGATAATTAATGCAAAGTGCAAAGCATAGTAGATGCTTATTATTTGGGGGTTTCAAATCATGATCTTTCATTGAATTAGAGTTAAAACATATTTAACTATATTCTATCAAATTCAGAAAGTTAGATAATAATCTGGGCAATTTAGAACTTTAAATTTATTTCTTCCTTTACAATTTAATGGAGAGAGAAATTAAAGATTACTTTAGGATTTTTAATGTCCATGAAAAAATAAACTTCATATCCAAACAACACTGACCTAGTTTGGTAGGAAAGACCATGAATGCTTGGGAAACATTGTTCTGCAACTTCTCAAGCACCTCACTGCTCAGAGCCATTCAGGAGATTGGCCTGGTATAATTTAACTGTGTTTTTCAAAGTTCTAAATCTGGGTCAACATTTGTAAACACCAATACACAATTAAAATCTCTCTCTTTTCCATCCTCACCCTATTTCATTTCCCCAAGATGAATCAATCTTTATAGCTTTTCTGAAACTTCCAAATGTGTCTCAGAAAATTATATCATTGTTAGCTACTTACTTCTCTTTGGCCTTAGAATACTTGACCAAAATCAAATCTCACATTTCAAACCTGATGTTCTACTGTTTTCTACTACTGTGAAAGGCAGAACTGCAGCTTAATTCGATTTGCATTTTTCTTCCTAATTTAGTGTTAAAGCAAACTAAATATGGCCTGAGAAGGACTCCATACCTCTATATTTGAGTCCTTGTGGACAAACTGCAACCTGACTTAATAGGACTGGAGAACTAAGCTCTGATTTCTTTATCTTGCCCAAATTCCCATCTAAGGGGTCTGGAGAGTCATGCCCTACAAACCATAAATTCTCATCAGATGGATTTTATTGAACCTTATATATCATGACTTACTTTCCAATCTGACTCTGGCATAACATTATGTGACAAAGAAGAAAGTAAAAATATTTTACCTCCCAAACGTGTTTATTTGCCATATCTTGAAATGGCCCTGAAAAGCTGACCTTTGTATGGGAAAATTTACATCTATAAAGAATCTCTATAGCCCCTCCCAATCCTAAAGAGATTAACTAAGAGTCTAGCACCTTTTAAAGATCTGAATAGGAAACATTTGTCATTTATTGTCTCCAAGGGCAGCCACTATATGACTTCAAAAGAACCTTGTCTCCACAATCTCTTATCTTAACCTGAACGTTTTCTTTCTATGGATCCCAGGTCTTTAGACAAACTCAACCAATTGTCAACCAGAAAATGTTTAAGCTTACCTACAAATGGGAAGCCCCCGCTTTGAGTTGTCCTGCCTTTCTGGACCAAACCAATATATTTGTTAAATGTGTTTAATTGATATCTCATGCTTCTCTAAAATGTATAAAACCAAGCTGCGCCCTGACCACTTTGGGCACACGTTCTCAGGAGCTCCTGAGGGCTGTGACATGGGCTGTGGTCACTCATATTTGGCTCAGAATAAATATCTTCAAATATTTTAGACTGTAGGATACAGTAAAATTTCTCTCCAAGGTTTTAGCCTGTTAACTCCCTTTGAAATCCTAGAGGGGAAAAATTCTTAAACAAAATGAGTTCTGAGTTCCTCTTCAAAGAACCAATATGTTAGTATGTTCAGCTTCCCTGTTCTTTGTTCTCCATTTTAAAGTTTAACATCCTCGCTCTTTATGCCTCCTTGCCCCTAGTTTCAGTAAACAACTCCCTTCTAGCCCCTATCACCTACTCTGCCCTTAGTCATCCTTAGTCACCTGCTCTGTCCTTAGACATCCTTAGTCACCTGCTCTGTAACTGTCCTTCCTGCCAAACTACTCACTCTGTCACTCCAGCTCATACCCTCACTCTCTTTAAAATAGCCAGTTGGAATTAGCTTAGACTGTGTGGTCCAACCCTAGCCAGTAGAGGAAAGATACAGCAGTAGGGACTGCATTAGGAATAAGATCCCCTTCCCCTCCCTTGTGCAGTGTGCTCTCACCATTGCTCCATCATAAGATGCACCCTTCTATAGAAGTAAATTGCCTTGCTGAGAAAACTTTTGCCTGAGTGCTATTTTCACTTTGCGGCACCAAGCATTTACTTCTAACATAGAGTTGGACACTTTTCATTGATATAGACAAGATCAAAAACTTAACTTAGGAGTATGCACCTGTAACAATAGCTAAGTCTTGGCCAATCCCAGTGGCCATACTTCAACCATTCATACACTGCTGATGTTCAAACTGTGTTCAAATAAGGCAAATGCCAAGCTGTAACCAATCCAGCTATTCTGTATCTCACTTTCAATTTCTGTGCATTATTTCCCTTTTTTTGTCTATAAATCTTCTTCCACCTAGTGGCTGTGCTGCCATCTCTGGGAATCTGCTGTGATTCTGGAGACTGCTTGATTCGTGAATTTTTCATCACTCAATTAAACTCCTTAAAATTTAATTCAGTTGGCTGGGCACAGGGGCTCATGCCTGTAATCCCACCACTTTGGGAGGCTGAGGTGGGCAGATCGCCTGAGGTCAGGAGTTTGAGACCAGCCTAGCCAACATGGTGAAACCAGGTCTTTACTAAAAATACAAAAACTAGCTGGGCGTGGTGGTACACACCTGTAATCCAAGCTACTTGGGAGGGTGAGTCAAAAAGATTGCTTGAACCTGGGAGGTGGAGGTTGCAGTGAGCCAAGATCATGCCACTACACTTGAGCCTAGGTGAAAAAGTGAGACTCTGTCTCAAAAACAAATAAATAAATTTAATTAAATAAATTCAATTCTTCCAAAGTTTTTCTTTTATCATTCATAACACAAATTATCATATTCTGCACTGTAGATGCTACAGTGCACAATGCAATTGAAATGCTGTTGGCTAGTAACCCCAAGAAATGAATCAATGGAGATGTCTACAGGGAAAGAAATGACGTGCTTACTTAAATTCATTTCTTTTTAATTGTAAGGAAATGTCTATTCAAATGGCAATCTAAAAGTGTTTGCCAACAGATCTTTTTGGTTGTGATTGTTTCTTTTCTTCTTTACCCCCCTCTTTTGCCATGTCTAGTAAATTTTGTTGACAATGGGTTTGAAAAACATTCTACTAGTAGGCTATGCTCCTATGTCCTGCAGATTGGTTATCATGTCCTCTTGATACTGTCTGAAACATAGTGTTTTTATAAGGAAACTGGATGATCACATAATTACAATGTTTCTATTTTCACTGGATATGATACTTAATAAAAATTAGAGGAATAGTCTCCCAAGTAAAATTCCCTTGCTAAGCCAAACACATGATTTTCATATATTAGTCATCAAGTGACTGTAAGCCAAACAATTCTACTTCTAAATGGATATATCTAATATCTAGTCTCTGAGGGAAGGTGAAGTATATTTTGATCTAAACTATTTTAATCACTTTTCCATGAAGGAATCTTTTAAAATATTTTTGTTATCTATATAGTGTTCAGGCAGCCTTATGATTGGAATAGCTTTAAACTAGGAGGAAATCCCATTAATAAAATTACTGACATCCTCTGTGCTTAATTGCAAGACCTTTGGAAAAAATCAAATCACTGTGGAATGAAATTCACTCAGAGATTCTAATGATAAAGGTTTTAGGACTTGATACCTTTATAAATTGAAGCCCAGAAAAAAAAACAGGAAAGGTTAATTGTTCATAAAGTAGTATCTCCACTATGCATATGCATTCTGCATTTTTAATTATTTGTATTCCATCTTTGTGACTTTAAAAAAGTGTCTAATTCCAGCTGGGCACAGTGGCTTACACCTGTAATCCCAGCACTTTGTGAGACTGAGGCAGGCAGATCATAAGGTCAGGAGATCGAGACCATCCTGGCTAACATGGTGAAAACCCACTTCTACTAAAAATATAAAAAATTAACCGGGTGTGGTGGCATGTGACTGTAGTCCAAGCTGCTCGGAAGGCTGAGGCAGGAGAATTGCTTGAACCTGGAAGGTGGAAGTTGCAGTGAGCCGAGATCACGCCACTGCACTCCAACTCCAGCCTAGGCAAAAGAGTGAGACTCTGTTTCAAAAAAAAAAAAAAAAGTCTACTTCCAGGCTCTCTGGATCAGTGGTAATTGTTTTTCTTCTTTGGTCCACTGCCTATTGTATATGCTAAACTTTTGGATCTGTCATTTCAATGAGACTGCAGATATCCTGTTGATATGCATGTGTAATGTTAGGATGACCCCACTTGCCCAAATATAAGGAACGTAGTCACACTGGGAGTAACAACTAGAATTTGGACCAAAGGATCAAACAAATAAAAAGCCCTAAATGAATGAAAGAGAATGACCAGTCATGAACTCTAAGACCCAAGTGCTTGCAGAGATGACATACATTAATGAAACTGGTTGAGTGCAAGACACATATAGCAGAGTAGTGATGTATACGTCCAACTGAGATGGTGAGAATTTATTGGCCGTAACCCAACTGCTAGGCTTATGTGGGAATATGGGTTCAGTTTTTCCAGGTCTTCTCATTTTCTATAAAAAGGAAACATATTTTTGATTTGAAGATGCTGATAGTCATTTAAAAAATTACTTAAACATTAATTTAAAACAACCTTCATTAACTTTTGATCTTTGAGTCATCATTTCTACATATTTTAGGTATAATTTACATAAAATAAATCAGACAGGTATTAAATATACAGTTGAATAAATTGTATTAAATGTATATATCCATGTGATGTTTACCCCAAATGAGTTATGAAATATTTCCAGTACCCAAAAATGTTCCTTTTTGCCCCATTACAGTCAATGCCCCACCTCCAGAAGTCACCACTCTTGATTTCTAGAACCACAGCTTAGATTGGCCTGTTCTAGAGCTTCATATAAATTGCAATTACACATCCAATTTGGTTTTGGTTTCTTTTGCTCAATATGTTTTTCAGATTCATCCATGTTGCTACATGTATTCGTAGTCTGTTACTTCAAATTGACTATTAAATTTTATTCATTATAAAGCACGATGTGGACCAAATCTTATGACAGAATTGATCTGCAGGACCATGGTTGGTTATTTCTGGATTGGAGACAAGACAGTAGGTGAAGACAAATAATATTAAACGCAGAAAGGATGAGGACAGATCATTGTGCTATGAGAGCGTTAAAATAAAACAATATAAAATAGTGGAAATAAAAGGACTGGAAGGCAGAAGAGAACAGAGGAATCCTTAGGTAGGCCTGTCAAGGTTTTTAAGAATTCAGGTATGAGAGGGACATGGATGTGACCAAAGAAGTTAAGAAAATAGCTGATGATAAACAAAGACATGATTTAGAGGTTAAGTAATAAAAAAGGAATGTGATTTGTATTATTTAAACTCACTAGATGCAAACCTTAGGAATTATTTTTTAAATAAAAGCATGACTTAGCACACATTTTGTTGTACTTAAACAACATTCTTGTGGGGTGTCAGTGCACTTGTTCTATTTCTTTTCATTTATTACCCCTACGTTTCACTTCCCTCCTTTTTATACTATGTTCATCTTTTGTAAAATAAAAATTTAATTTTAGAATAGGTTTAGATTAGCAAATAAATTTCAAAGATAGTAGAGAGAGTTTCAGTACACCCCACACTCAACTTCCCCTATTGTTAATATCTTACATTAGTGTAGAATATTTGTCACCATTGGTAAATGAATATTGACATATTCCTATTAACTAATATCCAGACTTTATTCAGATTTCCGTAGTTTTTGTTTGTTTTTTACTTTGTTTTGTGTTTGTTTGTGTATTTTTTTTTTCTAATGACCTTTTTCTGTTCCAGGACCTTTCTTATTCAGGACACCACATTATATTTACTTGTCATGTCTCCTTAGGCTTCTCCTGGCTGTGACAATTTCTCATACATAACTTGTTTTCAAGGACCTTGACGATTTTGAAGACTACTGATCAGATATTTCGTGGAATTTCACTCAAATGGAGTTTGATGTTTTTCTTATGATTAGACAGGTGCTATGGCTTTTAGGAGGAAGATCACAGAAGTCAAGTGCCATTGTCATTGCATCATATCCATGGCACATGCAATCCCATGGCTTATCATTGTTGTGATGGTTAATACTGAGTGTCAACTTGATTGGATTGAAGGATGCAAAATATTGATCTTGGGTGTGTCTGTGAAAGTGTTGCCAAAGGATATTAACATTTGAGTCAGTGGGCTGGGGAAGGCAGACCCACCCTTAATTTGGTGGGCACCATCTAATAAGCTGCCAGTGAATATAAAGTAGGCAGAAAAACGTGAAGATGTGAGACTGGCCTAGCCTCCCAGCCTACATCTTTGTCCCATACTGGATGCTTCCTGCCCTTGAACATCAGACCCAAGTTCTTTGGTTTTGAGACTTGGACTGGGTCTCCTTGCTTCTCAAGCTTGCAGACAGCGTATTGTGGGACCTTGTGATCAGGTAAGTTAATACTTAATAAACTCCCATATATATATATATATATATGTACACACACACACACACATCATAGGATATATATGTGTGTGTATATATATAAAAGGATATATATGTATATAATAGGATATATATGTACATAATAGGATATATATACAAATAATAGGATATATATGTGTGTATATACATAAAAGGATATATATGTATATAATGGGATATATATGTACATAATAGGATATGTATATACATAATAGAATATATACATACACACACACATACACACATAGAGAGGAGTCTGTCCCTCTAGAGAATACTGACTAATACAATTGTTGATGTTAAAATTTATCACTGAGCTGATGTAGTGTTTGCCAGATTTCTCCATTGCACTCATTCCCACATTAAAGAGTAAAGAGTTATGTTTCACTTTCTTGAGAGTGCATCTACATAAATTATTTGGAAAACCTTATAGTCTTTATCCAGCTCAAGATATCAATGAAGGCACTGGAATTTGGCTATTTTATTCTGCTAGAAAAGACAAGCTAATGGGGATTAGAGGACAGGTGACAACACATTGAGCTTTGTTACGCATAACAAAGAACCATATATATATAACAACAGGTTTTAGCATGTTATTCCATTCAGGCACAATCTGGTAATATGCTCAGAAAAGTCATGGATAGATCTGGTGTTCACATGAAACCTGTAATTGTCTTCATTCATACGTGTGTGTACCCACATTCATTCATACATTAATTTATTCATCAAACAGTCTTTTCAGCATCTGTATCAAAGGTTAAGCTAGGTGGAGGTTGAGTGCTCTCATATTATAAACTTCAGAATGTAGAAAGTTTTTAGTTCTATTAGAAACCCTTTAATCAATGATCATATGGATTCTTTTACTTAGAATAATTTTATTAAAAAGTCAAACTGCTTTTTTTCTCTTTTTTGTATTCGCACTTGGACTTTTTTCCCTGACTTTCACGAAATTATATGTGCTTTTCTGTTTATATAGAGTTTGATATTAAATTAATTGTTTTTTTTTTCTTTAGAGTGATGTGGTTTTACATCTGCTTGTGTTCAAGTGGACACTCCTACTTTATTATATGTAAATATTTAGATAAGGAGGTTATTATCCAAGTGTATTAGTTAGGACTTTTTGGATGGCAAATGACAGAAACACAATTCAACAATATTTCTTAAGAAGTGTGGTGATATACAATATAATGGACACTTTGGGATGTAGAGTTGGCTTCTGATACAAATACACGTCAGGGAATTTTTCTCTATGTGATGGCAAAGTTAGCCTTAACGTCCCAGGTTTGCATGGTCCTGAATGCACGTAATCTCCCAAGGCAAGAGAGACTACTTTCTGGATAGTTTTGGTTATAGACCCAAAGACTAATCTTGTTGGTTGGGCTTAGATCACATGACAAACCTGAACCAATCAATACAGACAGGAACTTGAGATTATTTGGTTGAACAGAACATGAAGGTGAGGGATGAAAGTTCTAGAGGGACTGAGATTAAGGGGGACTATTTCCCAAACAGTTACTTGGCAAGCAAAATACATACCTCTTTGCATATCATCTCCTATCTTCATAGAAGATAATTCTAAATGCAGCCATATTTACATGGCAATATTTAACTCATCTAATAGGATTATTTTCATGGACATATGAGCATTTGAGATAATTTCATGTGAGTAACAGATACCCCAATTTTGTATTTATCACAATTATTTTTTAAGGGAATCTACCTGTGAACTCATTCTTATTCTTTTTTAAATTACTTTTTTTTGAGACAGAGCCTCGCTCTGTCACCCAGGCTGGAGTGTAGGGGTATGATCTCAGCTCACTGCAACCTCTGCCTCCTGGATTCAAATGATTCTCCTACCTCAGCCTCCTGAGTAGCTGGGATTACAGGCACATGCTACCACACCCAGCTAATTTTTGTATTTTTAGTAGAGACAGGGTTTCACCATGTTGATTAGGCTGGTCTCGAACTCCTGACCTCGTGATCCACCCACCTCGACCTCCCAAAGTGTTGGGATTAAAGGCGTGAGCCACCAAGCCCAGCCTTAAATTACTTTTAAGTGAGAGCTAAATGATGAGAACACACAGAGGGGAACAACAGGCACTGGGGTGTATTGGAGAGTGGGGGTGTGGGAGGAGGGGAAAGATCAGAAAAAAATAACCAATGAATACTTGCCTTAATACCTGGGTGATGAAATAATCAGTACAAGAAACCCCATGACATGAGTATACCTATCTAACAGAGCTGCACATGTACCCCTGAACTTAAAATCAAAGATTTGAAAAAGAAAGCAGTGATATGGTTTTATTTTTTAAAATTCTATAATTCTGGCCTGCAATTAACTCACATACACATGCTCCCTCCGGCTTTGCAGATTAAGCAAGGTTTTGCTGTAGTTTCAACTTCTTTCAGGGTGTATTTCTCATGGCTTTTATAATGAATCTGAAATTCTGCCACAATGGCCACTGATTGTGGATTTTTTTTTTTTTCAGGATATTTTTTCTCTCCCATCTACTTTTCTTCTGATCATCTCAGGGTAGTCTAAGTCCTTTACTACTTAAAAATAATTGATTTTCATTTTCCTAACTTGTGACTGTTAAGCCTGCATTGTAAAATTATTTCTGTATTGATGGAACGTAAGCACAGGTTATCTTTTTTCTGCTTCTCACACTTAGGATAATCTCCTCTCTATTTTTTTACCACTATCTCATGCTCTGGAATGAAACTGAACCACAATTCTCTAACAGAAAACTTCAACAAGACCATTGGCATCTATTATCATTCAATAGTCATAGAGCAGATAAAATAGAAATTACTTCTTTTTGAATCTCTATTCTTCCAAAATTGCTATACTTTAGTCCAATTTTCTTAAGTTCAATTCATGATTATTTGACTCTGCGTTTGGGAGATTTTGGTTTTGAGGCTTTATTTCACACCCGAGGTTTTTTTATAATTTTGAGAATTTTGGTGACACTGACCTGTCGACTTATGCTCCTATCTGTATTCTTGAAGTTTGGTAACCCCTTCAGAACTGGATGACACTGTATGAACTAAAATACATTCAAATTTTCTCTATTGCTTGCAATGTAGACAAGATCCATAAACTATGAGTATGTTAGCCTAAAAATCAGACCAAGAGCAAAATATTTTACTGTGAAGCAAAGCCCAAGTATATATAACGAGGTACTTTCACGATGTTTAGAAGAATATTTTTGATAAGAAAAACTAGCCAGGCGCAGTTGCTCACGCCTGTAATCCCAGCACTTTGGGAGGCTGAGGCAGGAAGATTGCCTGAGTCCAAGAGTTTGAGGCTATAGTGAGCCATGAACGAGCCACTGCACCCCAGCCTAGGTGATGGAGCAAGACTCTGTCTTTAAAATAAATAAGTAAATAAACTTAAAATATATAAAATTATATAAAATTTTTTTAGAAAGATAAGAAAGGCTGAATCAAATTCCATAAACCACAAGGAAATGCATTTCTTTGCATACCACGAAGATTAGAGGTAGGGTAGGCTTCAAATACAGAAACACCAGTGTTTCAGTGATTCAATAAAATATGCATCTCTTTACTTTGCTCTCCCAAATACCAACTTATTTTCAGGAGCATGCCTATGGCAACTGGGAGTGCTTACTTTTTTTTTTTTTTTTTTTTTTTTTTTTGTGACAGAGTCTCGCTCTGTCGCCAGGCTGGAGTGCAGTGGCACGACCTCAGCTCACTGCAAACTCCACTTCCTGGGTTCAAACGATTCTCGTGCCTCAGCCTCCCGAGTAGCTGGGATTACAGGCACCTGCCACCACACTCAGCTAATTAGCTAATTTTTGTATTTTTAATAGAGATGGGGTTTCACCATGTTGGCCAGGCTGGTCTCAAACTCCCGACCTCATGATCTGCCTGCCTTGGCCTCCCAAAGTACTGGTGTTACAGACATGAGCCACCGTGCCTGGCCTGGGAGTGCTGACATTTTTATTTATTCATTGAAACAAAAGAGAAGAACTTCTCTCCAAAAGATGAATATAATTAACTCTGATTAGTGTAATTTAGATTACATGACTTACCTGGACAAGAATAGCCAAGAGAAATGCTGTATTTTGATTCCATCAGCAAATAGCCATTCCATGTGGAGCTGGAGGTGGAGTAGATACCCAAACAAAATTGAGGTTCTGTTAGGAAAGAGAAAGTGTAGCTTCAGCTTTTTTTTTTTTCATTTTTATTTCCTATTCTAATATCTTCTGAAATTTAATTTACAACACATGGGCATTTAATAGCCATTTAATATGTGAAAAGGCAAGTACTGAAAATACATTGGAGTCTAAGTACAGGGTGGTTCATAAAATGCAGACACTCGATTTTTATATTAAAGACATTTTTCATAACTTTCAGAAATAAAAATCTTCTCGAATCGTTTATTTTAATTGGATTTGTTTCCTAGCTCCAGAAATAAATAAACCCCCGTTTTAATCTGTGCAATACACCTTCAAACACCAGAGACATGCTGAGTCACTGATAAGTAATTCACTTATCCTGGAAACAGATAGATGAACCAATTTCTGAAAGCTGCAGACATCTAAGTTCCCCCATAACTTTTCTTGTTGAGATTAGCTAGTACAGATGAATGCTGGCATTCTAGTCAGGACAAATAAAAAAAGTGTATTCCCTTTTAAATTTTCAGCAACCTGTCATGGTAAATTTCTGATGTCATGCCTAGTAATATTTTGTGTCCAGAGTCTTTAGGTCTGCTGAACTGAAGTGCTGCAGATAGCTGTGGATAGTTGATATTTCCTCTAAAAACAGTCACATTTGCAAATAATCACATCTCCTTTAGGGGATGGCAAATGCATGGGAGTGGAATAATTCTACTCTAAGTAATGTAAAAGTAGGTTTGAATTCATTTTATCCAAACCACTAATGTAGTTAAAGGATTTTTTTTTTTTTCTGTTTTTTATCCAACACTGCTGATTACAAGGCATCTTGAGCATTTATTCAATAATCTTCCTGGTCTATTTTTTAAATCCCTGAGTAGAAGAAATTAAATAACCTTCTCACACATAAATGATCACTTAGATATACAGGAATAATAGAAGTTACATGGTATGTATCCATTATACTTAAAAGCTAATATTGATTGTCAAATCAATATATGTGTTTCAGTGACGCTGAATGACTTTTAAGAACAGAGCCACAGAACAGAGGGCTATTTTAATTTAGGTTTCAAAACTACATGTAAAATGTTTGCAAGTAAACCAAACTAGATCAAAAAAGAAAAGGAATTCTTGTATGTTGGGCAAATGTCCCCCTGTATTAATCAGTCTACATATATTTTCTCAACAAATTAACTTGAAATTTAAAAATATTATTAAGGTTAAATTTACATACAGTGAAATGAACAGATTGTAAGTGTATAATTGAAATGGGAGAGTTCCCTGACCTTCCTTGCAGGACATGTGACAGGGGTGTGGCTTGTATGTCCGGCACTCAAACCCCTTACAGGAGGGGGGAGCATGCAGAGGGACAGGTGCAAGAGCTGGGGTGAGCCCTTTGTTGGGCTCTCGCCCAACTGTAGCATCTAGGGGTGGATGTCTGAGACTCCTAAAGCCCAAGTGGGTTGTATTACACTGGGCTCTTTTAGCTTTACCTTCCACAGACGGCTTAAGTGTTGAACAGCTGAGTGGACCCTCTGCCTTTTTGCAAGGGCAGTGGGCCAGTGTGACAGATTTCTGTATCCCAAGTTCTCGTCCGACATTCAGAAAAAATCAGGTTACACATGGACTTGAAGGGTGGTGAATGTGGGGGTTTTATTGAGTGGTGGAGGTGGCTCTCAGTGGGAAGGATGGGGAGCTGGAAGGGGGATGGAGTGAAAAGATGATCTTCCTCTTTCCTGCTCAGCGGCCAATCTCCTCACTGATCATCCTCAGCTGAACTCCTCTCAATGTTCATACGCCCCTTCTCATCTCTCCTCTTCTGCTCTTCTGTGCATTTGCTCATCTGCTCATCTGCTTGTGGAGCCTGGAGTTTGGGGTTTATATTGGTACAAGATAGGGAGATGTGGTGGGCCAAAAGGCAACTCTTGTGTGTGAAAACAGGAATGCCTGTTCCCATTTATATCTGTGGATTTCCAGGCTTGAGGGTGGGGCCTTTGCCAGGGAATTGCCTTATTCTACCCAGTATTTTCCTGTCTCCTGCTTGTATCACAATTCCATGAGATTTTATATACACACATGTAATAAAAACATTCACATATAATATACACACATGTAATTTATATCCACTCAAGATAAGGTCAAGAGACCCTGGTGCTTCCTTTTTCTAATCATATTCCCCTAGATAAGAAATCACTGCTCTGATTTCTATTGCCATCGGTTAGATTTGCATGTTCTAGAACTTCATCTAAATAGAATCATAAAAATGTAGTGTTTTGTGTATTTCCTCTAGAAACAGCTAGATTTGCAAATTATCACATCTCCTTTAGGGGATGACAAATACAGAGGAGTGGGATTATTCTACACCAAGTAATGTCAACATTATTTCTATGAGATTCATACACGTTGGTTTGTGTATCAGTAGTTCATTTTCATTGCTAAATATTACTTCACTACCTGAATATATCACAGTTTATGTACCATCTTGCTGAAAGACTTTAAAATTATTTCCCATTTTGACTATTTTGAATAAAACTTCTACAATCATTCACTTACACGTCTGTGTGATCAACTTTTTTTGTTTAAATAATACCAAGAAGTGGAATCATAGAGTAAGAAGAGTGATATGTGTTTAACTGTTTAAAATATTGTCAACCAGTTTTCTGAAGTGTTTGTATCACTGCAGTTTTAGTTTCCATTTCTGTGATGACTAATAACATCCGAATCTTTACATATACTGATTGGCTATTCACAAATATTCTTTTATATAGTATTTGTTCAAGTATTTTGTTCATTTTTTATTAGTCATTTTGAGAGATACTTATATATTCTAGACACAAGTTCTTTATCAGACATGTGTGTTGCTAAAATTTTCACTCTGTGGTTGGCATTTTTATTTTCATAAAGATGAGGATTGAAAAGCAGACTTTTATTTTGATGAAGTCCAATTTATCATTTTTCTTTATGGTTAATAAATTTTTGTGATGACCTCTCTAAGAAATCTGTGCAGACTCTGTGTTCCCTAAAATATTCTGTAATGTTTTCTTTTAAAAACTTTTGCAGTTTTAGCTTTTATATTAAGGTCTTCATCCATCTCAAATTAATTTTTGTGCACTGGGTAAAAAGGGAACAAGGCTGATTTTTTCCTATGTTTATTAAGTTGCTCCAGCCCTATTTGTTCAACTTACTTCTGTTTTTTTGAGGTATTTGCATATCCATTTATAAAACCACAGCATCTCAATTACTGTAGCATTATAGAAAGATTGAAATTAGGTAGTGTAAAGCCTTTAAAATGGGAAAAGTGATTTAATCATTGATTTAAAATCTTATTTATTTTATACAATATGCAGGCAAAGGTATACATTTTCGTCTAAGTATTGCTTTAGTAGCATTCCACAAATTTTGACATTCTGTGCTTTCATTTGAATTCAATTTTTTTTTTTTTTTTTTTTTGAGACGGAGTCTCGCTTTGTCGCCCAGGCTGGAGTGCAGTGACGCGATCTCAGCTCACTGCAAGCTCCGCCTCCCGGGTTCACGCCATTCTCCTGCCTCAGCCTCTGAGTAGCTGGGACTACAGGTGCACACCACCACGCCTAGCTAATTTTTTGTATTTTTAGTAGAGACGGGGTTTTGCCGTGTTAGCCAGGATGGTCTCGATCTGCTGACCTCGTGATCTGCCCACCTCGGCCTCCCAAAGTGCTGGGATTACAGGCGTGAGCCACCGCGCCCGACCTGATGTCTTTTTTAGTTTCCTTTGTGATGCATTCTTTGACCCATGAGTTATTTAGAAAAGTTGGTTAATTTCCAAAGTTTGGGGTGTTTTCTAAATATTTTCTTATTATGCATTTTCAACTTTATTTTGTTATGTTCAAAGAACATATGCCATAAGTGTTTAGTCTTTTCAAATGTATCAATGCCTATTTTATTACCCAGCAATTGTCATTCTTGACGGAAATCCCATGTGCACATGAAAAACAATGTGTTCAGCAATTGATGTGATCTATAAATGTCAATCAGGTTGAGTAAGTTAACATTGTTTTTGAAAGATTTTACAGCCTTATGATCTTTTGTCTACTTGTTTTTGTTTGTTTGTTTGTTTTTTGAGACGGAGTCTCGCTCCGTTGCCCAGGCTGGAGTGCAGTGGCACGATCTCGGCTCACTGCAAGCTCTGCCTCCCGGGTTCACGCCATTCTCCTGCCTCAGCCTCCGGAGTAGCTGGGACTACAGGCGCCCACCACCACGCCCGGCTAATTTTTTTTGTATTTTTGGTAGAGACGGGATGGTCTTGATCTCCTGACCTCGTATCAGTTACTGAAGCAGGTAATGCTTCAGTAATGCACTCACCAACAATGACTATGGCTTTCTGTGTTTCTTACTTTAGTTCTGTCAATTTTCACTTCATCTGTTTCGTAACTCTGTTATTTGGTTCATTCACTTTGAGCATTGTTATGTCTTCCTAGTGAATTGACCCTTTTTAAATTATTATTATTATTATTATTATTGTTATTTTTTGAGATGGAATGTCACTCTTGTTGCCCAGGCTGGAGTGCAATGGCATGATCTCGGCTCACAACAACCTCTGCCTCCTGGGTTCAAGCGATTCTCCTGCCTCAGCCTCTAGAGTAGCTGGGGTTATGGGCATGCGTCACCACGCCTGGCTAATTTTGTATTTTTAGTAGAGATGGGGTTTCTCCATGTTGGTCAAGCTGGTCTCGAACTCCTGACCTCAGGTGATCCACCCGCCTTGGCCTCCCAAAATGCTGGGATTACAGGGGTGAGCCACTGCGCCTGGCCGAATTGACACATTTTTGATATGATTTATTTGTCTTCCTTCTAAGCTATTTGTTTTCTACTTGTCCCATACATTGTTCATTTCTTTTGTCCTTATTTACTGCTTCTTGGTGTTATTTTAATATTTTAGTCTATTATTTTATATCTCTGCTGGATTTTTATTCATACCTATTAATCCTTATTTCATTACTTTTTATTATAATTTGTATCCCTACCTTTTCACAATCTACTTAGAATTAATATTATATAACTTTGTATAAAATTCAAAGCATTAACAAAATTGTAATTCTACTTTCCTTCTTATATTGTGTGCTATGTTGTCATGTATTTAGCTTCTACATACATCAAAAGTCCTACAGTAAAATATAATCATGCATCACATAATGAAATTTCAGATACTAACAGCATATATGATGGTGGTCTGAAAAGATTATACTATCATATTTTTACTGTACCTTTTCTATGTTTAGATACATAAATACTTACAATTGGGTTACAATTGCCTATAG